TACCCCATAGCAGCATTTCCAGCAGTATCCAACATTTCTCAATCATGATCTTACTCAGCTAAATGTGACTATTAGCTTAACAGCTGTATTCCTTGTTTGCTAGCTACCTATGCACATACAGCTTTCAATGTTAAAAATGTTCTACATTATGAACCTTAACCCAAAAACCTTTAGCTTCATACACTGTAGATAATTGTGACCCTGCCTGTGGAAACCCAGCTAAAGTATTTTTTTTTAAACAGTGGATGAGTAATTCACTCCTTGATTTGCTTAATAAAAGCCTCCTTTGAGATCGTTTTGACAGACATGTTTATTGTGTATTATTTTCAACGTGTTTATTGCTAAGTTTAGTATGGCAAACGGTGGCAAAATAATTAAATAATAATTCCCGTGCAGTGTATCTGGTTGCCATGACAACCTCACGAGCTTCCTGCTGTTGCTCTATGTAATCAGAGTATGAATTTTAAGATTTTCTATAGCAAAACTAAAATGTGTTTAAAAGTGCGACTGACCAAATCGTCCGGCTCGGTTTGCCCCCCCCTCGAACTCGAAGACATCTCTAATTGGACAGTTTACCATCTGATCTCACTCAATGACTCTAGGCTATGTAGGATGGGACGAAACCATGCAGTGAATGGGGGGGAGATAATTTTGCTGGAAATGCAGAAATAAGCCGTAATTTTGTTTTATTTGTAACTCTTTGGTAGATACATTTATAATTTCTATTACATTACTATTACTACTAATAAAACACGATCTCTGGGGGCCCCAAAAGTACGTGGGCCCTTAGAATCGTCCTAACTTTCCCCCCCTTAGCGGCGCCCCTGTGCCAAGCACCTGATTTTACAAAAGTTAGCATGATTTTTTAATGTATGAGGCCATACATCATTGCTTATTGTTTTACATGTTAGATCTACAGATGTCTGACTGTTCATCTTCAAATCTGTTCATCTTGCTGCAGTAAAAAAAATTAGCTGCCAAGTGCCAACTATTGACATATTCAGCTCATTATGACTGTGACAGAGAGTGTAGAGGAATATTACTCAAAAGTCTACTCAAAAGTCAGATACATGAATATATCATGGACAAATAAAAGCAGAGACAGCAACAATGAGTGTTTGTAAGAAGAAACAGTTTTGTTTAACAAAACACTGGTAAATCAATATGACAATCAATGCACAATAGATTGCCAAGGCACCACCGGACATCAGGGGTCATGGATCTTCATGCTCATCTCAAACGATTCAGCTTAAAGCATGTGCAGAACACGTAGCGACAGTCTGTTTTAAATCTAGCGATATAGCTTCCAATGATATTTTAACGCCTTGGTAATTTACACTTTGGTAATTACGCAAACATCTAGCTACTCGTTTTCCCGCGCTTTCTCATTTCCCTGTTGTCACACGTATGAAAGTATGGTGATAAATACCGATTGATTAGCTCCTCGTCTCCCCAGGTTATCACACTACCACAAATAGTACATGGTGACAAGGCCAAAAAGTGCCTTGTGCATGAAGGAGTAATTTTCACATTTTCTCTGTCGTTACTGTTTAAAACAACCCATAACCTTATTAAAAGAATTACCTGTGGGCCTACCCTTTGCCTACAGTGTTATTTAATAGGTTGTACCTTTGTAAATCAATTAACAAGTTAGTCACAGATTTATTGAGCTTCTCATTAACTAAGCCAATTTTAATATATGTTATCAATGCTTAAGAATCACTTCATATTAAAAGATCTGTGCTGTAGGTTGAACATGGATATGACAACATCAAGGACAACGAATAACAAAATACTAACTTCATCAAATTTAATGAATTCATTCCATTTGGAATTACTGAGACCTAAAATTAGTATTGTATTTATCCTCGAATACCTTGGGTCATATAGAGAAAAAAGACATCTTCAGGTGTACAGAAAACCAACACTACCCTGCTGGAGGGAGGAAAAAAACATCTTAAACCAGCCAAATCTACACTGCTGGTCTTAGCTGATCTCTCCAGGCCAGTCTACTTACTCCTGGACACTTTTCAGTTGGTCAGATTGGGAGACCAGCTGAAACCGGTTAAGACCTGTAAACCATCTTCGGCTGGTTTAAAAAAAAAATTTCAGCAGGGTTTAAAAACTGACCCCTAATATAGTTCCATATACCTGTTTACATTAATTAACATCACTGTGTACCAGCTTACAGCTGAATTTCTAATAGACGCAGAACTCATAGTGCTGAATAAACCAGCCACAAACCACTTACAAATCGAGGATTAATACCGACTCGTTCACGCACATGAGCACAACACCTGATTTTCTGTGGGTAACTGATGTAAGAAAACATGCAGCACTTACGGCACGAGCCACTGGCACGTGTGCAGCACATCAAGACTGCAACACCTGTGTACACTTCACTACCACAAACTTGCTCGGCCTCCAAACATCTTATAGGAAACAATCGCTCGACACCGCACAAACCCCAGAAAAATCGCGTCTTCCACATGAGCGCGCGCCGAACGCACACTGCCTGCAGTTTAGCCCCGCAACATGCACGCAGACGTTAACGCACGCATTTACCTCCGTGTCGTAGATTTTGGTGATGAGCGAGAAGGAGTACTGCCTGGACTCGCGGATGTGCTGGATGGCCAGCTGAACGGCCGGCTCGATGCCTTGACTGATGCTGCTCATCAGCGCTGATTCATTCATCGGCATCAGGACCATGATGGGCAACTTCTCACCATCTCTCGTGTACCAGTTGTTGTCCAGGCCGTGCCTTGTGTAATCGTTGCAGACCTTCGCCAATGCAGGATGAAATCCCAAGACGGACAGGAGTAGGCATCCCGAAAGAAAGATCATGTCACATCTGCAGTCCCTCCGGGACGGAGCCATGCTACCGAACAATTGAGATCCACCTTCTCACTGTCCTGGCATCGCAATCTTTAGGTTCCTCTTGGATGCTGCGATCAGTCAAAGAGAAATGACATGATATGCAATAGTACAGGCTCTCGCGCACTCGATCTCTTGAGTAGAAATGATGCGTAAAACCAGAATGTGTCCAGTCGCAGGGGTTATAAACTAAAGCTGCTCCCCCTTTTACGGGTCCTTATCAAACCCTGTCCGATCCAATCCTTCCTTTCATCTCCAATACACCACCGAATGCGCACATCACAATCCACCGCCTGTGCGTTACGCAGAGGTGCGCGCTTTATAATTTGAGTCGACCGCTATTGCGAATGTAAATGTATATATTCCAAGCAGTTGAGGAGTTGCATATCCATGGGAAAAGCACATAGGTGAGGGCTAGCCCTGGTATGTAAAAGCAATCCGAGTGAGGATATCCGTGCGACTCCGATGCTGCTGCCTCGGCGGATGCGCTTCACTTCTTTCTCGCGCTGGCCGCGCTGTGCATGTATGCGTGCGCGCGACACAGGCAGAAAACATTCTTCACTGCGAGCGATGTTCTCTCGAAAAACAAGCGACCGACAAGGGAGCTGTTAACGCGTTCAATAACCTACATACCTTCTCCTCTGAGGTGATATGTGAGGTAAATTGCCCACCTGAGCCCATATAGTGCTTTTTAAAATAGCCTAAGTATTCAGAACGTAAACATAACCAAAGTGGCGTCGAGTGTCATAAAAGCTAGTTGGGTTCGTTGAAAGATTCAGTCGTGAGTAAGGACTTGACATTCTACAATTAAGTTAAATCATATTGCACATTGTTCATTTTTTTGGCCACCGACATACAACATTAAAGCAAAATAAACACTGCCACCTAGCTATAATACCCCTGTATGTGAATAAAGTTCACTTTTCTCTCAAGTTATTGCGCGTCATTTCTAATTAAGCTCAGAAATGTGCCTTTCAGACATTTAGAGTTTAATTAGATCTGTTTGGCTATAAATGATGACAGACAACAGTTTAACAGCAAAGATATGCTTCTCACCGGAAGTCACTTCTGACTGAAGACACGCGAGATTAGACAACGCTTGTGTCCAAGGTGGTTGTATTAACATATATTAATATTATAATTTTCTACAATATCTAAATATGTTTTACACATACATTTGACAACTACTTAAGCAGGAAACAAAAGCAATATACTACTTGCATTTAAATAACTGTTTTTGTACTGTATTCAGTGAGAAGTTACTTGAACTTGGCCATTCGCCATTCATTTTTTTATTAAAGAGGTTCACACATTCAGATGTGCCCTGCATGACATGCTGTACTTAATACTATTTTAAACATAATTTCCTAATTTTTATCAATTATTATACATGCAGTTTTTCATGAATAACAATTAAGTTAGAGACTACAAGGAATATTAATACTTCTAAAATTTCACTTGTCACACCAGCAGGACTATTTAAGTGAACTGCAAAAATGGATGGATGGATGGATGGTTGGATAGATCGATAGATAGATAGATAGATAGATAGATAGATAGATAGATAGATAGACAGATAGATAGATAGAATATGAAGGTGTAATATGCTATACAAAACTGTCACTATGCTAGAAAATATAATTACCTATTATCTGACCCATATATAAACTTAGAATATGAAGGTGTAATATGCTACACAAAACTGTCACTATGCTAGAAAATATAATTACCTATTATCTGACCCATATATAAACTTAGAATATGAAGGTGTAATATGCTACACAAAACTGTCACTATGCTAGAAAATATAATTACCTATTATCTGACCCATATATAAACTTAGAATATGAAGGTGTAATATGCTACACAAAACTGTCACTATGCTAGAAAATATAATTACCTATTATCTGACCCATATATAAACTTAGAATATGAAGGTGTAATATGCTACACAAAACTGTCACTATGCTAGAAAATATAATTACCTATTATCTGACCCATATATAAACTTAGAATATGAAGGTGTAATATGCTACACAAAACTGTCACTATGCTAGAAAATATAATTACCTATTATCTGACCCATATATAAACTTAGAATGATTGATTGATTGATTGATTGATTGATTCACTGCATCATGGTGGAGGCCTAACACCATTAACCAAGTATGATACCAATGATAAGAGCATATAAATAAGAGTACCATACAGCCCTAATACAGTAAATCATAAAAACAGCCCAGCAGAGGAGTGCACTATCAGCGAATTGGTAAACTGAGGGATCTTATCTTACTAGTTCGATCACTATACAGAGACTCTATACATAGCTTTGCTGACGTCTTTCACCACTGTCTGTGTTGCTTTCTGTTGTGTGATTTCCAGATGAAGAAATAGGTCAAGTTGTTGTCCCATCTGTTTGCTTTATGCAAGACACCTCCCTCCTTTCTGCTAGAGAATATGATAAGAATCAGGCACAAATGTGGTGGATTAAAATACTGGGATGCTCAGAGCAGAAAGTGGGACGATCAAGACAAACGATTATAGAAATTTTGCCTTGTATTGGCCAACAAAATAATTTGATTAAATTACAAATTATTTTAGTTGATATTATACAAATAATTTAGATTGCATTATATTTAATCTCCAAAATAAATTTATTCAAGTTATAATAATGTAAAATAAAATTAAATATAAAATAAAAAAGTGTAATATTGTAAAATATTGTGAAATATTATTGCAATTGCACATTTTCTATTTACAATTTCTATTTAAATGCATTTTAAAATGTAATTTATTCCTGTGATGGCAAAGCTGAATTTTCAGCGGCATAGAATTTTCATTTTAATATGCTGATTTGCTGCTCAAAAAATATTTATTATTGTTATTAACACTGAAAACAGTTGTGCTGCTTGAGATGTTTGTGAAAACCATAATACATTTTTCACGATTCTTTGAGGAATAAAAAGTTCAAAAGAACAGCATTTATTTGAAATAGAAATATTCTGTCATTGCAAAAGTCTTTGACACGCTTGATCAGTTTAATGCATCCTTACAGAATGAAAGTATGAATTTCCTTAAAAATAAAAAATAAAATGGTACTGACCCCGAACTTTTGACGGCAGCTATTGTGAGATACATACAGTATATTGTCAAAAATATATTGTGAGATTTTATTGTATAGATGGAAACAACATAGATACACAATTATCCTTTATTATATCAACTTACACACTAAATTAGTAAATAAGTACATCTGAAGATGTATATTTATGGTGAAATGTGTCAAAGAACCTGGGTGCATTAATGTCCTGAAGATCCTGTGAAGTCCACACTTGATGCAGGTGAACACACAGCTATCTGCCAACTTGCCACACACACTCACAGTCCTGTCTGATATGTCTCCACTTAATAGAGATTAATGGGACAGCCCGAGGACATTCTTCAGTGCAGCACTGACAATGCATTCCTGCTGGATGCATCCTGAATTTTGAATGTCATATATTCAAAAAAGCGTGAATGAAAAATGAAGCCTTATGAAGTACCCATGCCAAGATCTCGCCATTTATTAAGGAAATGGTTTCATAAAATGTTATCAAATGTAAGTGATAATCATGTAAACAAATATTCATTAAAACATGATTTATGGCAAGTCACTTCTACAAAAGTTTGTTATATAAATTATATAAGTAGTATATTATAATTTACAGAGGAAGTATTTACACTGTTAAAGCCAGTGTTTTGTTTATTATTACTACTTTTAACCAGCAACCATGCATTAAATTAATAAAAAGAAAAGGCAAATAAATCAAATAAATTATGTTCTTTTGAACTTGCCATCATTAAATAATATTTTATTTTACATATATTTAATATTTTAATATTTTCTTCCACAACTGTTTACAGCATTTATGATAATAAATGTTTCTTGAGCAGCAAATCAGAATATTAGAATGATCTCTGAAGGATCATGTGACACTGAAGACTGGAGTAATGATGCTGGAAATTTAGATTTGCCATCACAGGAATTGAATTATATTTTAAAATATATTCAAATCCAAACAGCCATTCTAGTAATATTTCACAATATTACTATTTCACTGTATTTTTAATTTAAAAAACAGCACTGGCAGAAGAGGCTTCTGTTAGAAACTATTTAAGGACCTTAACAACCACAAACCTATGAACAGAATGTATTCCTGTTAACACTGACTTCTTGAAGTTTGTGTATAAAATCAAATCAACAATATGCCCCTTTATAGCACTGTAGTGCTGGCCCAGTAGTGCACAACACAACGAAATCTCCACGACACAACGGAAACAAGCTGCAACACAATGAAATTAGCACAACACAATGGAAACAAGCTGCAACACAATTAAATTAGTCCTATGCGTTGTGTTGTAGAGATTTTGTGGTGTTGTGCACTACTGGGTCAACATACTGTAGTTCTTTTTGACCTGTGCATTGTCATTCTGGGTGAAAAACAGAAATTTTGCTCATAAGAGGAGAACTGGCAAAGTCAATGCAGCTGAGCACAGGCTCAAATTTCAGTGGTCGTGCTCTGGTGAATTCTCTATGAGCTGCTGAAGTCATTCTGAAGGCCTCATATCTTTTCTCTGCGATTCCACCGGTAAGACAGCTTCCGTCTCTGGGGAAGGTCCCTCAAGTCTCTCACTAAAATTGAAAATGAAATTGCAGTGATTAACTTCTCCGGTCTCAGAGCTTTCATACCTTTCTGAGCTCTGAGACTTCCAGAGCAGACCCGTGCCCAAAAGAGAAGGTGTTTTCAGGAGAACAAATAACACACACTTTTAGGAACACTTTATTAGAGTGCAGAATATGAATGATGTTGCCCTTGAAGAATACCAGCACAAGCCTAATCACAGAATAAACAGCTTCTTGAGACTTAGAGTGCTCTATTGAAAAAGGAGCCATGCGCTGTGATGTATTTCCATGGGCAAAAAGGTGCAATTGTTCTTATTTGTTTCTGGCACGCATATGTAGTTGGGAAGGTTTCAGGGCTGTTGAAGAATTGATTCTGCTTTGTGAGTCAGAAGTCCCATTTTTGTGAATTCCATGCATACCAACTAGATTCTGTGTGATTGATTCTCAGCCCGTTTACAGCAGGCTGTGTAAAACACATACTCCATGCGGAGGTAAACTAAATAGATTTTGTCAATAGATTTAGGATGTACTATGTGTATTATAGATCCAGTGCACGTCCACCACAGCACAGTCCTATACTAGGCAAACAGTTTGAAAATTACCATAAAATATAAAGAAGTCTTGTAGGATGGTGCATGGACTTTTCTGTGAATCTCTTTCTATCAACAATCATGTGATGGACTAACCCTAGAATAATGACACTTCCTTACCTTCTTTGTGGTTTCATTTATCCTGCTTTGAGACTCCTTTCCTGTTCTCTAGGTTATATACAGATTAAGGATTAAATTGTTGGAAGGACAAAAAGAGTGAGATTTAGAAGAATTCTTTTAGACCACTCTTCATTTATAAGCCACAATTTCAGTGCAACAATTTCCTAGCATGTTAATAATCTAAGATTCACTGCTGAAAGATTTTGTACTGTATATGATTTACTTTTTTCAAGTTTTTCACAGTTAAACTTTTATGTAATTTCACTTATCCTTGTGACAAATACATTTTTAAATACTGT